ATTTCACCGTGAGTCCGTAGAAGATGTGCAAGTGAAGAAAGAACCAGGGGAAGAGGCGTCGTCGGATATCGGATCGACGAAGACGCTGCTGAACAAAACGAGATCCGCGGATCGACAGAGTGCTCGGAGGACTTCTGTCGACGGAATCGAGGGCGATCTGGAGACAGGTAACCTCAACACCCTCCCCAGGTCCCTTCGGGGACCCCGGTGGATCTTGGTGCTAACCGAGATTCACTAACAAAACAAACTAAGGCGGGATCGGACCGATACGCGTTCGCCGACTCGCCGATCAGGCTCGATCCGGACTACCTGGACGCGATCGCGGACAAGGACCAGATCGTGAGGAAGAAGCTGAGAGCGCCAGGCCTGGACGACGAAGATCCCAGACCGTCGGCGCTCGACTGGTCTGAGGCTGACCTGGATCGTCAGTATCACTTGAAGGAAACTGCGAGACTTCTTGCGTCAAGATCCTGTCATGGTGATCTTGCGGCCAGAGCAGATCGACGACCTGAAGGGCCCGATCTCGGCCCCCCCGAGTGACGGACAACAAGCTCATGGCGGTGAAGAACCTGCTCGGACTGTTGAAGGAAGCCGGCTTCGTGGCTGGCGCCTTTGAAGCGAATGATCTTTTCGATCAGGATCTCGATGCGATCCAGACAGCGATCCAGACATTGGTCGACAAGTTGAGACCTTTGGTCGACGTGATCGCGGACAGTCCGGACCCGAAGGTGCCAGATCTAGTGTCGCCAGCTCCCGCGTCGTCGCCGCGGATGGAGTCCACGGGGTACCGATCGTCGTCTCCTTATGTCTCCGCAGCGGAACACGTATCGGATACGTCGTCTGAACCTCAACGGATGTCCCTCGACCCTTCAGGATCTGCGATGTTGGACGCACGATCACGGGGTCAACGCCAGGGACGCATGCGATCAGGACCTCGGAAGCAGAAACCCAAGTCGACCGATCGGACCACCAGTGCTACCGGATCAGATGAGTCGAATGGCAAACTGGAGTCTTACTTTTAGGCTGCGATGGCTCGATTTCTGAAGGAACAACAGGCCACGGTTGTAACACCTACTCCAGTGGTCGACGACAACGTTGGATCGCGGGACGTGGAGATGGAATCAGCCGGATCGCCGGATCAAGATCTCTCTCAGTGGGAATACGATCCGGACGACATTGATCTACCGAGTTCGGCCCCTGCTGCGGTGGCCACCGCTGCCTCAGGATCCACTGGGTCCTCATTGATCCAGCGTGTGCGGATTTCGGCGATGTCCGATCTTAAGGAGTTCAGTGGCAAGGATCAGGACGAAGACCGCGCCCGATCGTGGATCAGCAAGGTAAAGTCGGCGTTCCTGCGAGATCAGGCTACGGACGAAGAGAAGTGCCTGACTTTTGCTGATCTACTGACGGGCCCGGCGAAGAACTGGTACCACCAGCTGGGCCGATCGACGCGGAACAAGTGGAGCGATCTACTCCGGAGTTTCCAGATCCAGTATTGTGGCCTGGGAGTATCGGTCGCTTGGCAGTATTACCATTCTCGCAAGAGATCAGATGAATCGCCGTTGGAGTACCTCTATCGACTGAATGTGGCGGCTCTGCGTGTAAGCTTGAAGATCAAGGACGGGGATTCCAAGGCCCGTCGAGAACATGTCGAACACTTTATCGAGACGCTGGGCGATCCGGAACTGGCCGATCGGCTCACTCTACTCCGGCTTGCGGACGCAGAAGATCTGGAGGAAGTCCTGCGCGCTCAAGAGCGCGCGAAGAGCAGACAGAAGCGATCTGCCTTTGGATCGAAGTACCGTCAGAACGTTCCGACCTCAGCACCAGCTGCTGCAACCAAGCGGGCAGTGCGTGCAGTGCAGATCGCGAGCCAGGAGTCTGAATCGGACACGGGATCAGACGGATCGGACTCGGAGGGTGATCTACGTCGCGTTTACCTAGCGTCGGCCGAGGACAAGTCCCGCAACGCTGGGGGCGACGCGACGAAGCCGGATCGAAGCAACCAGGCGCAGATCAACCATGACCCACCTCGATCGGATCCACGATCGCGATCTTCACCTGACGGATCGGAGCGATCAAACCGCTGCTCACATTGTGGATCGCGGAAACACACCGATCTCGATTGTTGGAGACGTTTGACGTGCGAGAAGTGTGGCAAGAAAGGTCATCCGGCGGATCGCTGCCTGTTTGTGTGCCGTGGATGTGGTGAACTACACGAGATGGGCAAGTGTCCGATGGAGGAATTCTACAACCAGATCCGTCAATGGTTCAACCCGGTGAAGCACGCTGGCATGTTGCCCGCGATCGCCGAGAAGATGTTAAACTAGGACGCTCGCCGGGTTGGAATCCGGTACGAGCCGAGCGTTCTAGGTACTGCTTCTATGCATTCGTGAACAAGAACACGGTAGATCGAGTAAGTGGACGGACTGATCTACGCGGTAATACATGTGATCTGCATGCGAAATCTACCGCCAAGGTCTTAAGTCTACATCGATCGGACGACTTCAGCCGTTCTGACGCCGAAGTGCCCTTGGATCTCCAGTCTGGAGAAACGCGGGGCTATTGGAAGCAACGCAGACCGGAAGAATGGTTCACGCCAGCTGATGGAGAAGTGACGACCGAGATCCCGGAGCATGATCGCGATCGAAGTCGGCGTCGCGTCAGCGAACACCGCAGATCTGGCGATGTGGTGCCCGATCTCCTCCCTGGGGAGTCCAGAGGGTACTGGAAACATCATTCGCCAGGTAAGTGGTTCCGTCAGGCCAAGATCACTGGCAAGATCAACAATGAAAAGTCGATCTTACTCTTTGACACCGGCGCCGAGGTGTCCATCGTGGACACCGCCTTTGTTCGTAAGGTGGGGTGCTGTGTCGACACGAGTCAGAGCCAGGAATGTGTGGGGATTGGCGAAAGCGTGTACATGACGGAAGGAAGGACCAGGATCAAGGTTACGCTGGCGGGATCGCTGGTGTATTTCTTCGATACCTGGGTCGGCGATCTATCAGGACAAGAAGCGATCCTGGGTATGAACTTTATGGTTCCAGCGGGGATCCGCCTCGATCTTGCGGACGGCTCTATCTGTCTCCCCGACGAAGTCAAGATCCAGCTTAGCGGACGGCGTCAACTGTACAACGACATTGTCCGACACGTGTGTGTGGATCAGGGAATGCACATCGCGATCGGGGATTCGATCGAGCTTCCGCTGCGAATGAAGGTGACGGATCGAGAAAAGCTATGGGTCACCCGTGGAGATCGTTGGGTGCCAATCGTGGTCCGAGGACCCGGCAGGATCAGATATCTCCAGGTTACCGACATCAGCGACAAAGACCTCGTCTTGCACCGGAATGAACGGATCAGGATGTGGCTGGCTGGAGATCGGATACCCCGGATTCCAGGATATGTGTCGATCGGATCTCGTCGATAAATGGAATGGCAGAATCTAGCCTTTTAAGCCACAACAGATGACCGGCCGACGAACCAGGAGGCGCCAACGGGACCTCCGGTACCTGCCGTCGAGCGACCGATTTATTCAACGCCCCGAACTATCCTCCAGAGATGCCAGATATCCCCGATCGTCGATCAGTCGACGTGTCCTCCCGATCCAACAAGCGAACCGGAGACAATGAGCCCTGATCCGGGGGCGGCAGTCGTAGATACTCTTAGATCAGGGGGCAGACCGTTGCAGGACGATGATCGCGTGACAGAGGAGTCGGGGTCGTCTGCTTCAACTGTCCGCGTCGGAGATCCACCAGACCCACGGTCGGATCCTGTTGAGTCGGTGTGGGAACCTTCCGGATCAGAGAAGGAATGCTCTCCAAAGCGGAAACAGGCGGAGCTGGACTTCCAGCCTTCGCCGGTCACGGATCAAGCGTGTGCACCGGTAGATGACGCGAAGCCGCAAGAGGATCGTGTTGGCGATCTTGAGGGGAAGCCAGATCATGTGGATTCCGGTGGTAAAGCCGCCGAGAAGGGCGAAATCGTGTCCCCTCACTTGCCCTCGGCCGATCAGGTCGACGGTTGTACCGTCGAACCAGATCTTGGGGGCGGAATACCGATCGGACACACCCCGTTGCGGTCTTAGCTGTGGAACAGTCGAGATCAAGTGACGATACAGCAGTCGACGGTGTTCCTGCATCTGAACGACTGCCGCAAGTGGCTGAAGACTCATCGTTGGAGGTGATCAGCTGGAAATGGAGGCCAAACCCACTTCAAATCGGGACGATCTCATTGCACCCGAACCAGATGGAGACGTTGGCGCGGATGATCAGGTCCATTACCACGAGGGCGGGAATTTGTCAGCAGAAGATGTCGAAGGTGAATTAGCCGTGCTTCCTGAAATTGTGATCTCGACGACGGATGAGGTGAAGATCGATGATATCAAGGTGGGAGATCTGGAGTTCAACACCCCGGAGGAGATCGATCGGCTGCGAAAGAAGATCTGGCACAGGAATCACCTGCTGATCGGTAAGGACAATGAACTTCCCCCAGCAGCCCGGGGCGTCACCTGTGACATCGACGTGGGCGACGCGAAGCCGATCGCTCAACGTGTCCGGAAAGTTGCCCCTCAGTTCGTGGAGAAGGTGTCCGAGCTAATCAAGGGACTATTGTCAGCCAAGATGATTCGGAAATCTCGATCACCGTGGGCCTCGCCGATCGTCGTGATCATGAAGAAGAACGGCGTGAACATTCGACTCTGCATCGATTATCGGCTCGTCAACAGTCTAACCAGGCTGATG